CATCATTTTGTCAACAAGATGAGATATTAATAATTATGTATAATAGTTGATTGTTTTACTTTCATTTAACGTTAGTGTTTTAACAACAAAATTATTTAAAAGTATTTGTTTTGTATAAGTTTTCGTCGTGCAGGTCAAACCGTGGCTATCGAATTAGTTTGAGCAATTACAATAAAGGAAAAAGCATTAGACACTTTAAAAACGAATATTGGAGAAATCTTTCAGCCAATTTTATATGGTAGATGTAGAAACAAACGAACAAATGTAGAAGAAATAAGAGAACTAAGCACAGTATCTTATTGCAATAATAATGACTTTTTTAAAAATTAAATTGGTTGTGAATTATTAATTAATATATAAATATGCTCAGTTTGTATTTATCAACATAATTTATCTTCTTCTGAAATTGTATGCTACGAAAGAAATGCAAGAAATAAGAATATACAAATCTTTTTCTATTAGTCATGCCAGAACATTTCTCTTCTTGATTGATATATTAATTTTCTAATTGCCTAGTTATTTCAGATAAATTATTTTCTTTGTAATGGAAAGCAGATTGACAGCAAATCTAGGTACATATATATGTGACTGGTTAAAAAATGCCTTAACTTAGATATATAGCTGAAAGTTATATATCCTGTAGGTGACTATATGAAAAGAAAAAGTATTGAAGATGAAAATTGAATAGTTAGATTCATAACATGTTTAAATGAGTTGCAATTACAGAATTACATGATAAAAAGAGTTCCTTTTGTAACATTTTCTTTTTTTTCTTTTGAGACTTGATTATGTTACATTTTTGTAACCATGTTGGCAACCTTCTTTAAGTGATTTGTAAGACAAAACAATTAACAATCACTGTGCAACTCAAATTTTACTCAAGCCAAAAAAATTAGCACAAAGTTTGCAAACATATCTGATTCAACACGAGACATGTTCAAAGTTCTGTGTCGATTCGTTTGAGTATCTAACAAAGATTTGTTTCCATCTTTAAAAAGAAACCCTGTATAATATTATGACGTTAAATAGCCGTCTAACATATTCCGTAAAACTCTTCTCAAGCATATGTCACAATATTTTTAAAATTAAATCACTTTGTAGCCTTTGCAGAGAAACATCTGCAGAAACTAAAATAATTTTTATTTCACTTGTCACGTTATACCGGTAGTGGTTGATATTTTTGTTTATATATGCTCGATTTCAAAAGCTTCTACGTATCCGAAACTTAAGCAATTTCGCTATTAGCCCAATTGCATTGACAGGAAGATAATATTTACGAAATAACTTCCAAATCTATTTTAAAAACATCAAACGGATGGATCATCGACATATCCGCAATTTTTAAGATTTTTGTTGGTGCATAAAGCTCATCCACATGCAACAGAAATTAGTAGTTTTAAAGGCTCAATGCTAATTTTTGTTTTATTAAGAATATTTTTTAGCTATTTATTTAAATAGAAAAAATTATTTAACTTTTTCATCTATTTGACTAATTAAACCATCAGAATGCATATGTAATGATTTGCTTCTTTCTGTCAAAATTTCATTGAACATTTTCCTATTGATTAAAGGCTTTAGGACTCTGGAACCTTCTTTTTGTTTCCTGAGCGCTGGGCTATTATTTTGTATATCTTGTTAGGCGTTTTAAGAATTTGCTTACAATTCCAGGTTTCAGGTTTATTTACGAAACATCTACTTTTTATTATTTACAGGTTTGTTACCTTTTTAAAAGTTGATTATAACTTTTTAAAATATATTTTTTTAAATGTTTATTCCGTAAAGCTCTTAAAACAGATAATATTCCAGCAAGAGTTTCTACAAAAAATAGGCACGAGTAAAGAAAAACAGCTAAAAAAAAGGTACTATATATACAGGGTGTTTCAAAAAGGTTTGTCATAAAATTCTTCCTTACATAGATTACCAAAAAATAAGTGGATTTGACTATATTTACCTATATCAACAACTAGTTCCCAACAAAGTTACAGGGCGTTAAACTAACATTCAAAAAAACGTTTTTTTTTGTAAAAAGTTTGCTGTTGTGGTTTTTTCTTTGAATTTTTTGCCAGTGCTGTAGATTTAAAGGCCCAATATTCTAAAGAAAAAAAAAAAAAATAAAAGCAACCCCCTTAAAAAAAATTGAGATGTTGGGTAGCCTTTTTATATAAAGAGAAACTCGCTTTAATCGATCCTTAAAATCAAAAAGAACTATGAATTTTTAAATTTTTTTATAACGAAATGTACCTTGTATCTTTCTTAGTTAACGAGCATTTTACAAATTTTTTAACTAAATTTCTAGAGCAATTCGTCCGTCCTAGACTTAACAATATCAACAAAACAACAATGGTGTGCCTAGGGCTGTGCTTGAACCGCCCCTGCAAAAACTACCTCTTTTTATTTATATTTTTGTATTGAAGAAGGAGGAGGCGACATGTTTAACATTTACTAAATTAAAATAGTTTTATAAAACATGTATAATAATTAATTGTCAAGTGTTTATTTTTAATTGTTAATTTTTTGTTAATTGATTTAATTAAAAAAATAATTTTTTTTAATTACTATTTAAATTTAATGAACACATTTCCACACTAACCGTGTATTTCTTATCAGTGGTATGGTGAACCTATTAAAGGCGGGGTGGCACATCATTTTTTATGGCGCCAATCCAATATTATAAATACCTTTTTTTACAAAAACTATAAATAAAAGAGGTAGTTTTTTGCAGGGGCGGCTCAAGCACAGCTCTAGGTACACCACTAATTTTCATATGCGTTTTTTGGACAATAACTCCTGACCTACTCTTAGTTTTTGTTGATATGTTAAGTCCAGGACGGACGAAATGCTCTAGAAATTAAGTTAAAAAAATGTAAATAGCTCGTTAATTAAAGAAAGATACAAAGCTCATTTCGCTATAAAAAAAAATTAAAAATTCATAATTCTTTTTGATTTTAAGATCGATAAAGCAAGTTTCTTTATGTCAAAAAAATACGGGGGTTAAAAGGTACCCAACCCCCTAAATTTTTTTAAAGGGGCCCTCTTTAATTTTTTTCTCCTTAGAATATTGGGCTTTTTAAAACTACAGCAATGACAAAAGTTTCAAAAAAAAAATTCCAAACAGCAAACTCTTTACAAAAAAAAAAATGTTTTTTTGAATGTTAGTGTAACCTTGTTGGGGGCCAGTTTTGGATATAGTAAATATAGCCAAATCCACTTATTTTTTGGTAATCTATCTGAAGAAGAATTTATGACATACCCTTTTTAAAACACACTGTATATAAATATAGAAAAATATACACTAGTACAGAATTAAACAAGGAAAAGTTAAAAAAATTAGACCAGACTAAGACAAAAAATAAACGGTTATTGTGTAAACTAATTGAAGGGACAAGAGAAAATTGTGAAAGATACACTTTCTACTAATAGAATAAAATTGAATTGTTGTTGTTGGAATGGTATTGCAGTTGCTTTTTTTATTTAAAAAAAAAAAAAACGTTTAAATGAATTTAATCACATTTTCTGCTTTCAAAAATAAGTTGGTTTAAGCTAACTTGAATTACATAAAAATTTTAATACTAAAAAGTAGAAATTTGACAAATAATTTGTGTGGTCGTAATCTAAAACGGCTTGACCATTTTAAGCTATTGCATAGCTTTTATCGCGGGCTTTGAGCGCGGCCGACTGAATCAAGAAATTCCGCAACGAAATAAACCTAACACCGTGCCGAAGTCTGCCAAACTGAAACGGACGTTAGACGATGCACGGCTTTCAACGCCGCACCGCTGTGCCGGTCGGCTGCCATAGTCCATGGTAGCAATTTACATTCTTCTCCGAATCCAAAATTGGACAAGGTAGAGCATTTTATTCATCGCACTTTACTGGAGTACACTGAAGAAGGGTCGAAAATACTTGGTACAAATGGTAATAAATTTCCACTTATCTTGGCTGGCGATCTCACAACATCAACTTTGCTGATAAAAAATCAGAGCGGTTGACAACTTTTCTTTCGGAAAAATTGAATTTGAAAATGAATAATGATCCACAAGTATCCCACAAGGATATCAAGTCTCAAACTTATATTTCTTATTTCAGTTACCATAAACCTACAGTTTTCAAAGATAAAAATTCCTGAATAACCTACATGTGTTGTAAGATAAAAATATTTTAAACAATATTAACTTCTCATTTATTCAATAAAAAGAAAAAAAATTGTTATCTTATCGTTCACCCACGCTCAAAAAGTGTAACTTGAATTAATATTAAAGAAAAAAAAAATACTGCATAAATAAAATAAATAAATAATTATAATTGCATAAGTTGATAAAAAATGCTATGCAATAGGCTTTGCCGCGGCAGTCCCCGAGTGCCACACGAATTTTTTTTTTTTTATAAAAATGTACACATGGGATGTAAGTATAAAGTGACCAATAAAATGGAGCGGTGTTTTAAAATTGTTGTAATTATATAGGTTTTTCGAGGGGTTCGGTACCCTTTTGACTCTACTACTTATTTATTTTTTTTGACAATGTAATTAACTTAAAAAAAAGAACACCACTGAAATGCCACATTCATTTTGAAATTTTGTTGCCTGTTAGTATTTGTTTGTAAAAGCCTTAATTACGGAGGAAGTATAGTGAAAAATCAGCAATGAAATTTATCTATTGATCTTAACTTAAACCACTGAAAGAATTCCAGTTAGAGGTGCATAGAGAATTCCGCATAAATTTACGCCTTGGCTATCACATCATACGAGTTTTTCCGAATATTATATTATTTATTGGAAAATTTTAATTTAAAAATATATTAGTGTATATGTACCCTAAATTATTGAAAAACCCTATTAAGTCCGTCGGCGTCGTATCAAAAACATTACCTGACTTAGGTATACATAAGAGTTTTCGATTCAACTTTCATCATTGTACCTTAAATATATCGCAACCTCTTAATTATTCTTTGTATTGTTGCACGTGAGAAATCACTAACTTAATTCTTTATATTGTCCTCAGCTGCTCTCATGGACTAAGAAAATCGGCGAAGAAACTCTTAACAGTTTGACGTTACTGTTGCGGGCTGCCGGAGATGCTGCAGCTGTTAAAGAAGTCGCCTACGATTTCGAGAAATTTTTCTTTAACGCATGGGTGAGTAATTTCTCTCTAGTTTGCATAATTATTGGTGACATCGAATTAAAATTGGAACAAAGGATTTTTGATAAAGTAAAATGTTTATCTTCAGATTTCACTATCAATTATATTTTTGATAAACATTTTAAATGCAGTTTGATAATTTTTAAAGTCACGAGCTCTCTCCAATTGATTGTTGATGAATTGCAGGTGTTTGTAAATGTTTACTTTTCCATGATATAGATTATTTAATATATCAACCAAAGACAATCTTTATTTTTTCATACACATTGTACCGGAAATAACTGAATGTCGTAGTATTTTAAGTTAATCCCGTAAAACGTCAATGTGAAGTTTGTCGACAAAGTAATGAATAATGGACAAAAAACGTTTTGGTTGTTCAAATATACATTGTAAAATAAAGAATCAATATCACTTTCGACTTAATCTTAGAAAAACAAAGTCAATATTATTTGTTAAGCTCGTCTTTACATTGTTAAATAATCTTTCCAAATACCCCGCAAGATGAGAATGTTTTTTTAAAAAATGTTTGTTTCCTCACAAATTATGCAAATTTCATTTAGCAGAATTCTCCCGAAATTCAACGTTTTCTGGAATTTTTATTGAGAATTCTGTTTCATTCAAATTTAGTTGCATAATTTTCGAAGAAACAACAACAAAATGTTTTTAAAAAACTCGTGTGGTATTACCATTGATAACACTAGTAACTAGTTGTTAGTTATGAAAATTAGGCAGAAAATATTAAAATTAAAAGTTTTTTTTTTTTTAAAACAAAACGTAAACTTCTGTATATATACAGGGTGTCCCCAATAGTGTGTAAAAGTTCGATATATCCTAATACTATAAAAAAATATCAAACAATGTTATTTATAAAAGTTGTAGATAATATTAATCTGTACATTTCAAAATTATTTTCGATTCTTTCAAAGTGATCCATAACTTCAGAATTGATCAAACCTATGTTTTTTTAAATAGACCACCCTGTATTTAATTGTAAATTTGAATTCCCCTGACTTTGCCCTTCAATAAAAATATCAACATGTATGAGGTTATGCTGGGTATTTTGAAAGTTTTAAACCAATTTTATATGAAAATCGTACTAGATTCAACCCTCTGTATATTTCAAAATAAACAATCAACATTTTTTGATGAATTATTTTTAATATTAGTCTACTTTTATAAGAATATACTAATTTTTTCCTAGCGCAAATGTAACACCCTGTATTTCATATGACTACTAAATATATGTTCGTTTGAGTTAAATATTGCCTATCCCTAAACAAAACCGTTTAGCAAAAATTCTTAGATGAAATGTTAAAAAGGGTTAATTATAACTAAATTCACAATGTAATTTGATTTAAACCCCCGTTAAAATATACTGTTTAACCTGTTTTATAATTTTTAAGGTACCTAGCTATAATTTATTATCAACTGAATTTAATTTCTTTACTTTTAAGGTTAGGTTCACCCTGTCTTTCATAACTCTACTAAAAGTACTTTAATTATACGTTCGTTTGTCCCTAAACACAACACAACACAACAGTTTAGAAGATATTTTATATCTTAAATGAAAAAAATATGAACCAAAAATAAGTTATTTTAATTTTTTTATAATGCAACATTAGTATCTTAAGAAATGAAAATAAAAAGCTATTATAAAAAGCTACTCAAAGTGACTCCCTCCAACTGCAATACAATGTTGTAAATCTAGCTTCAAATGTTCTTTGAACGGTTTCCAAACATTGTACATCCGTGCTCGCGAACACTTGTCTTATTCTTTTCTTCATTTCCTCGCTGGTTAATGCGACTAGTTTTATAAACCTCGTTTTTTACGAAACCCCCAAAAAAAAATCTACTTTAGTGAGATCAGGGTAGACATGGGTAAGCGCACTAAAATTCTTTGCGTTGATACACTAACTCCGGCGCACTCTATTGCGCCAACTCATTGCGTTAACGCAATTGCGTTATTGCGTCACACCACTGCCTGCGCCGAATGAAGTCGATGCACCTCGGTGTATCGCATGATACCGGTGTTATTCAGCGGTTCAGCGCGGGCTGTCCTGCAATAACGCAATTGGGAATTTAACTAAATTTTTTTTATTATATGTTTAAAAATAAACGAAAATATAACAGTGTAATGCACTCATTTTTTTATTTCATTGTGTTCGGATTTTACAAAAAAATACAAAAATTCCAATTTATATAAAAAGGATATAAATTTTGTATACTAATAGCCAATCAAATTGGGAAGAACTAAAAATTGACAGCGTACAAGATTAAAATTCATAAAATTCGACCTACAATCCTACAAATGATGTGAAATGTTGCAAAAAACATAATTACTTGATAGATTTTGGGTAATCTGCATTACGAGTTGCATCAATTACGTAAATTAAAATTCTCAACTCGTCACGGAAAACGGAATCAGTGCCTGGCGCATGGCGCACCAACAACTCGCGATCCTTTCGACTCAGTATCGAAAATTGCGTTGCGCTGATACAGTAACAACTGGTGTATCAACGCTCGTAACGCATACAACTGCGTTAACGCAATAACGCAACGCAGCGCTGCGTTACACATGTCTAGATCAGGGGACCTGAAAGGCCACATAACTGGACCCTCTCTTTCATTCTACCTGTTTTCAAAATTATGGTTCAAAAAGTTGCGAACTGGTTGAGCATGATGTACAGGAGCTTCATCATGTAATATCCTCATTCGGCGTCTTATATTTAGTGGAACATTTTCCAATAGTAGTAGTGGTAGATGATTCTACAGAAAGTCTAAGTAGACTTCGGCAGTTACACGACCATGAAAGAAATGTGGTCCTATAACATAGTCCCCTAATATACCACCCCAAACGTTAATAGACCATCGTGTTTGGCTATGTGTCATTAACTCATAAGGATTGGTGGTGGAATAGTAATGAAAATTGTGTCTATCGACGAAACCGTTTTTGTGAAATGTTGATTCATCCTCAAAAAGTACACAATCAAAAAAACCATTTTCATTATTAATGCTCTCTATTGCCCATTCACAAAAAGCTATTATTTTTTGAAAATCGTTTTCAAGAAGCTCCTGATGACGTTGGATATGGTATGGATGTACTTTGTTTTTTAATAGTATCCTATTGACAGATGATTTACTTATTCCTGTTTCATTTTCCATGATGCGTGTACTGGTGTTTGGATTTTCGGTAACACTAAGTAGAATACTGAGTTCATTTTGTTCATTTAAAGTTCGTTTTTCTCTATCATTTTTTTGATATGCTACATTACCTGTACGTTTGAATCTTTCCAACAGATTTTTAAAAATTTCTTTACGAGGTTGTCTGCGATCAGGATATTTTTGCTTATAAATTCTAGTTTCCAACAAGCAATTTTCATCACTAGCCCCTAGCACTAAAATCATATCAGTAAATTCATTCGTTTCAAAATTCATTTTTAAATTAGTCAAATCAATAAATTTAAATACTTATGAACACTAAAGGTAATTTTATTTTTTTATTGAAACAATTTGGAACTGTCAAATTATTCTTTTGACATGAATTTCAAAGCCCACTTGACCTAACGCACAAAAACAATTTGAAGTTCTGTTAGCGTTTTCATTGCATTTTATATAAAAAGTTGTAAAAATCCCAAAAAACAATTTCAGTTGATAAACAATTGTACCAGGTACCTTAAAAATATAAATTGATTAACTAGTAACTAGTATGTAATATTTAACAACAGTTTAAATCAAATTATATTGTAAATATAGTTATAATTAACCCTTTTTAACATTTTATCTAAGTATCTCGCTAAACTGTTGTGTTTGAGGATAGGCAATATTTAACTCAAACGAACGTATAATTAGAGTACTTTTTAGTAGTGATATGAAATACAGGGTGTTACATTTAAAAAAAATTGAGAAAATCATGTATCTGAGTTTTGACTCACCCTGTACACGTCCTGTTACGCTAGGAAAAAATTAGTAGATTCTTATAAAAGTAGACTATTATTAAAAATGATTCATCAAAAAATTTTGATGTTCGATTGTTTGTTTTGAAATATACAGAGTGTTGAACCTAGTACGATTTTCATATAAAATTGGTTTAAACTTCTAAAATACCCAGTATAACCTCATACATGTTGGTATTTTCTTGAAGGGCAAAGTCAGGGGAATTCAAATTTACAATTAAATACAGGGTGGTCCATTTAAAAAAACATAGGTTTGATCAATTCTGAAGTTATGGATCACTTTGTGTAATCTAAAATAATTTTTAAATGTGCAGATTAATATTATCTACAACTTTTGTAAATAACATTGTTTGATATTTTCTATAATATAGGATATATCGAATTTCCACACACTATTGGGACACCCTGTATGTGGTCCATATGATCACGACTCATAACAAAAATAAAAATAAATTATTCATTAGAAAGTAATAAAAATTGAGTCCAAAATACGATAGCTAATTAACAGATGTAGTTCAAAAAAATATATCTCAACTGATAAATAATTGCCAACTGTGCAAATATTCCTAAAATGCCAGTATATCTTAAAAATGAAATGAACTTCGTTCTTGAAAGTTTGGAATTGTTATTTATTTTTTCATTTTTCTGTATCTAAGGAAATAAGATTGTTAGTTGGCTCATTCCAATAAAATTTCTACATTTTTACTATTATGCAATGAATCAACAAGCAACGTCAATTAGTCAACTGATCATTTACTTCAGCTATAAACAGTTTCTAAAAATTAAGTGACAATTTAAAAATTATTTTTTAAAAGAGGCCATGTTTCTTAATTTTACGAAACCTCGTAGAAGAAAAAAGGTAATTTTTATCAAATTTTGTACTAAATATTTATTATTATTTTTTTCTTCATTGGTTCTTTAAAGATTTCAATAAGTAAATACATTTTGAAGATTGAACTTTTAGAGATTCTACTAGCCTTTCATTTTATATTTACCATAATAATATTCTAGCACATCCTGTAGAAAATTAAAATGTAAACATAGTACTCCTGCTACAATATATTGTATAATTTGTAGTCAAAAAATAATAAAAATTCACATGCCTCAGAAGACGACAGTACTGTCACTTTCATATAAAAGACATTATCAGCGAGTTTTAGTAGCCACCAGCAAAGTATAACTTAATTTTTTCATATTGCGTCGTGACTAGCTTTTAGAATATCGTGAATAGATTTGCTTGATTGTTCTTTGGGAAGTAATTTATCAAATATAAAGACTTTAGGAAGTAAATTGCATATAATTACAAATATTTGTCTAAAGACCACCAGAGAAATTAGTGTTGGATTTTAGATAACAATAATAGCCTCAAGTTCATTTCAAATAAGTTGCATTATGTAATTTGATGACTTAATATAATAGTAACAACGTTCAAATGTATTTTCCGTATTATATGAAATTCAAATATTTTATATTACATTCTGAAAATTATTTAATTTCCAAATTTCCACATAGAAATATTCCTTAACTAAGCTTTAGATAAATTTAATGTGAAGTTTATAATATGAGCTTTTAATCAACGCTTTATTTAACGAATAAAATACTTGGCAACTATGACATTGTCTTCTTTTTTGTCATGACCCACGTATAAGATTGCCTTTCAGCTATTTAGATTCTGTGTTTTATGGTTGTTTTTTGCTATAAAAGATTTCTAAAGTGATTTTTATAATTTTAATATTTTTTTTATTTTTTTTTGTTTTTATTTGTCAATTTGTTCCGTTTATAATGTATTTACTATAAAATATAATTACCTAAAAACTGGTGTTTTGGTTATTAGTAAGAAAAAAAGTTTCTTCTTTTACATATATTGTTTATAATTGCAGTAGACAACACTGTTTCTCGTTTTAAACTTCGCCCATATGCAATTACCGGAAATCTTCGTTTTCACACCCCAAAATATCACTCAATGGTGTTTCTTGTTTTTTTATAGGATTCATTAAAAAGCTGTAAGCTAGTAACTATTATTGAATAATTCGTGAAACACAATTATTACCAATAATCGAATAAACTCACAAAATGTATACCAATATTGTGAGATTAAATACAAACATATCATAAGGAGATTCCAAATTATACTCTATTTGCGAAAATAATTTCAAAACAGTGTCTTTTGATAAATAAAATCTTAGAAAGAAGGTCTGTGAATCCAAACTATCAAAATATTGGCTTCTCGTATACACTCTTCGCGGCATTCCATTAAACATTAATTCAACAGCTTTCAATTCATCATCATCATCCCTTAATGTCGAAAGACATTTTAATTTTGACAACAACACACCAAATTTTTAAAATATTCTTTTTTCACGTAATTATGAATATTTCAAGTCTGTCACATACTGTCAATTTTCTTTCGTTAAGTTCTTAAACCTCAAATATTTACAGTTTAGGTAAACTCATAATAACTACTACTTAACGAAAACAAAAATGACGGTGCGAATGAAAATGTCACTAAATGTCAATATAACCTCCGCTTATCGCTTAACGAATAGTGGTGCGAATGGCCCTATTAATTAATACATTGTCTTAAAGGCCCTTGATTTAAACTGTTTAAACATAATCAAGTCAAAGCTGGTCTAGAAATGTGGTCTAGAATTACCATGGAATTCTTAATGAACTGACAACCCACAATAAGACAGAACTGGCGTGGGTACCAAGGAAATGAAAATGCTGATGAACACGCCAAAAAGGGATCATAACTATTTTTCACAGGACCCAAACCTGTATTTACGGCTGCTGCAGAAAACAGATGTATACTCACTAAATATCACTGTCAATTTATAAAAGGAGAGAATCAGTAATCCCCATGTTAAGGAGACCAAACCCACGCTAGGCTGCTGAAATACACACAACCAAACTTATATGGAATCACTGTGTATGTCTGAATAAACGTTTTATAAGGAAAACATTTGGTAACTAACTTTAAGATAAGGCCTTTTTTTTCTTAACTTACAGTGTAATAAAGAAGAAACAACTGCTGAGATTTATTATCTTGTGAATTTTGTGTTCAGAAGTAAAATCACGATTCTCCGGTAATTTTATTTTGGTCCAAAAAAAACAACAAAATGCCTTATATTGGACTAACAGATATGCAGGAGGGTGAGAATTATTGCTCTTACTGAACAAGGAATGCCCCAATGAGAGGTAGCAGAGGTAGTACGCAATACCCAGTTTGTTGTATTGAAAACATATGAAAATTACTTGGAACTAGAAACTCTCAAGAACAGGCCCATACAAAGTAGTCAAAGAGTCACAACTGAACAACAGAATCGCTTTGTGTGCCAATTTACTTGACAAAATCCCAGTGTTTCCCATCTAGAGCTACAACGACAACTTCTGGAAGCTACAGATGTGAACGTTTCAATTGAAACTCTAAGAGAAAGACTTCGCGCACGAGGTTTGTACAGTAGGAAAGAGTTATGAGTCCCACCGTTATCTAGGCAAAATAAAATTGACCGGCTAAATTGGTGCCTCCAACACCAAAACTAGACAATTGAGAATTGTCAAAATGTTATTTATATGGATGAGACCAGAATTGGCCTAAGATCAGATGACCTTTGAATTCGGGTTCTCAGAGCTCCAGGAAGATGAGCGAGACTCCACGCTGCCAGATATGTCCCAAGATATCAAAGAAGAACTGTAATTTTTTGGGCAAGTATTATGATGGAAGCAAAAACTCCATTGTTACCACTTCAACAAACTTTAACCGGTCCGAGATATGTTGATTTAGCGCTAGAACCAATCGCAATTTTATTTTTATGCACGATAATGCACCTCCCCATACCAGCAGAGTGGCTACAGAATATCTTGAAACAGAAGGTGTCACAGTTTTAGACTACCCTGCATGTTCACCAGACCTAAATCCTATCGAACACTTGTGGGACCAGCTCAAAAGAAGGATTAGAGCTTGTCAAAACAATGCAGGAAATGTCGCACAGCTTATTGATGCAGCATTAGCAGAATGGGAAAACATACCCCAAGACAGTGTTGGCAATTTAATAAGAAGTATGCCAAGGCGAATAGAAGCTTGCATAAGGATTAGTGGTGACAACACGGATTGTTAAAATTATCAATTTTCATTCTGTTTTTGCTTTTCGGCTATTAAAAGTTAAATCTCATTTTGTTTCAGAAACCAAAAAAAAAAAAATACCATTGTGTTTATTTTGTCAACTAATTAAAGATTTTTATTGTTATGTGGGTTATTTGTCATTAAAAGTCTTTGATAAGGACTGAGTTTTATTCATAAACAAAAAATGTTCATACATCTCAAAAATAATGAAAAATACTAGATGATTCCATATAAGTTTGGTTGTGTGTACTATAGCTTGCAAGGCCTCTGATATTTATCATTATAGGATTAGTAACACTGCTTGCTAAAACACCTTGATGTGATGGGAATACACTATGATTCCACCACGTGTAAACTTCTTCCCATGTTATCTTTAAATGTGATGCTCCTTTTTGGGTGACAACATACCCTTATTGGTCTAGAACCGCAAAGAACATCCTATAAACACTTGGTAGAATCCCAACAGGTTGCAGTGTTATGGGATAAATCTAACCTCGCCTCTTTATAACCGAAAGTGATAAATATAAAAAAAAACAAATTTAAAATTTGTTATCCCACCTTTTACAATAATGATAAAAATATATTTTATTGTTTATTTTCAGAGACAAATCGAAAAATCGAACGACCTGTTCGAAGAATGCAAGAACATAACTGACGCCAAAGGTCAACAAGTTAAAGAATTTTTCGGCAACCTTCATATACAGATGAAGGCTTTTAGAGAAAAATTGGAGGACACCAGAGAGAGAATTGAAGACAGTTCGAGATGTTTTTTGCTGCTAGATACTTGCCAAAATATTTTGGAAGATGAGGGTAAAGAACAACAGGAGTTTCTAAGGCTGGCGCAGAATTCTGCTAATGAAAAATTACTGCAGTTATATAGAGTGAGTGTTTTATGATTAACTATTTAAATACTACGTATAAAGATCTTTCCTGACCCCATTTTTTTTGGTATTCCCAGTGACTAACCTTATTATCCTCTATCCTATTTTTGTTATTGACCAAAATTTATGGTTAGATAATATAATCATCTAAATATTTGATCTATAACTTCCAGTTGAGGCATACGTCTGTAAATTGTTTATTATGGTTTAATATATATTTTTTTATTTTAAGGTAGGTAGGTTTGATTTAAATTGGTTAAAAATTTTGCAGTCTAAAATTATTTTCGAAAATAAATACTTATATTTCAGAAATACAATGACAGAAATTAATTGTTTTTGAGTTCGATCCTTTTCCAACTTTTTCAAAAACAGGATGTTAATTAATTTTTAAAATTAAAATTAAGAATAAATGTTAGATTCTCCTTCTTTCATAATTTAGGTTATTTTCTTCTTTCCTTATTAGTTTTATCTCAAAAAAATTTTTTAATTGGAAAAGTTCAAGGATAAAATAATATATTGTAAAATAAAAACAGGGATTATTTTCTCTATCTAAACATAGGAATCAAAAATATACAGGGTATTTCAATAAATATGTGCAATTGCTCGTGAGATGATTCTTTATCCAAAAATAAGACAACCAACTGTTTCTATCAACATATTTCTGCATATGCTTTATTTCAAAGAAACATGCTATTATACATTTTATATATTTTTTTTTTGGTATTTTCAAAACATTTTCGAAACGGCTTTAATGATTTGAATGAAATTATGGTTGTGAAATTAACCTAACAAATCACATATTTTAGTGAATATAAAGATTTAATCAGATTTACCTAGGGAGCGCGTGTGAATAGGTGCTTTAATAATAAAACAAAAATCTGACTATTTTAGTTTTTGATAGCAAAATTAATTAGATATTTAAATAGTTATTAAAAATATCCTTTCTGATTATTTATGATTTGGATTTGCGGCTTGTTTAGAAAAAAAAAATTTAAAATTGTAAAACGCTCCATTTTTGAAACAAAGAATCTGCATACCAACATTGCTAGGAACTGTTTGTTTCATGTTTGGGTGTGGAACCACTCCACGAGTAATTACACGGGTTTTTTTAAACATCCTTTATAAAATAACACTATTATAAATATTACTCCAATTCTTTATTTTTTACTTGAAAAGCTAACCAAAAAAAAAAACTAGAACAAACCTTTTGTTTTTTCATACAGTAACTCTGTTAACTTGTGATTCATATCTGTTTTTTTTTATTATATCAATGACTCTGCTGCAAGTACCAAATTCTTTAGTCTTATCAACGCGTCACCTGTTTTTTAATAATTATTTTTCGATTAAAATTGCTTTAAGTTCAATCTATATTTTGCAGAGAATGTGTATCTGTTGAAATAAATTCATAGACTCTTAAATAGCCATGGATAATGATGTTTCGTTGCTTGTAATTAATTTCTAAGGTAGGTGATCAAATTCTTTCTATAAACAAATTATATTTATTTTTCAGACTGTTCAGAAAGCCAACAGTGCTACAAACAACCCAAATCAGCCGCCCGATAAGGAAAGAAACGAACAGGATAAAAGCCCTCCATATTCGTCAATGGAAATAAGCGCTGCCAGCACTCCTGTCAAGCAACCTACCCAAATAAGAAGAAGATCCGTCAGTTCTTTGGCCTTCATTTATCACTGCAATCACCACGCAGCCGGAGAAATGTGCAATTGCTGCGAATCCGATACAGAAAATACCGTTTCTTACAAACTAAAGAAAAAGTACATTCAAACCTTGCAGAATTGCAATTGCAACTCTAAAGAAACATTAGAAAGAAAAAATAGTGGTACTCTTGGAGGCATCAAGGAGGAGAGCGTTGAAAATATATTGGAAAAAATTAATTCGGAGCATAACGACTGTAATAGGTGTGATAGTGGTGTTTCAACTGCCGAGAATTCGGTTGGCGACGAAATCAACTACAATAAGAAGAAGCTGCAAAGGATATGTTCGTGTCAATACTTTAGAGAAAGTTGCAATTTATGTAGTGCTGGTAGCTCCAGTACCGGTTCGAATCAGGATAATACGGAGAACCAGCAGGATAGTATAATTGAAGAAGGAAGTGATGGATGCATTAAAAGGTAATAACTGCCATTGCAAGTAACTTTTCACAGAGAGATTGTTTGCAAAATAGCCAAGTCACGACATTTTTACGTCTTTTTGATTATTAGCTTTCATATTAACTCCAGACCAAATTAGGATATAAGGTCGTTAAGTATATCACGTGTTCCACTTATAAAAGAAATTTTTTGTTGAATTTTGGGATATGTAAAATTTAAATGTCGAAAACCCGATTCTACTATCATAACCCCCTCATAAGGAAGCAATAATTGTTACCTAATCCAAAGAGTGTAAGTTTATTAATAGTTCAATGCATCACTATATCTCAAATGAATAAAATGTGCAGGATTTTCACTTAGTGACGTATCACATTTTGGATGACAATTTTTGTTCTAACATGGGAGCTTTTGGGATATTGAGGTCTGGGTTATTTCTAATCATACTGCTTCGGTACTGCGCAAAAAAATTGATTTTTCGATTATGTGACACGCGTGGAACATCTTAATTTACGGTTTTATGTTGGCAGCAGTTGGACATTTGTTTTTGTTTACCACGACCTTTTCAGATCTATTGTGTGATTCCGTTATTTTGAGCAAGTCGCCTAACTCAGTATTTTTTACTAAACTACTAGATTTAGAGTTGGAAACCTCAATCTAGCCAGGCCTCCACACTGGCAAAAGTCGAATATTAATTTTAACTCTTCTTCTTCTTCTTCTTTACAGAACCTGCACAGTAATGCTTTTTCTGTTAGATTAAAAACACTCATAAGGGCTTTTTTTCCTAATAGTGGAGAAATCTTTTGCGGTCAATTGGTGATAGTCCCCGTAAAAGTGTGGGACTCGCCTGCTCCACATATTTACTAAAACTCCACCACTCCTCCACTAGCATACCGGTATCTTCTTGTCGACATGTGTCGTAATTTCAGCATGGTTTTTTTCAGTCTGGTGCTTACGCTTCTTTTTAATCTCTCATTTCTCTCAATAATCTCTCGCACCATGCTGTCTACAGCTGCTCTGGAATCGGGGTGTCTAATCATAATGTTAATGATGTCATAGTTTGCCCCTGTTCTGTGACTTCTGTTCCTTTTAGCTTTCCATCTCATGCACCTGATAAAGATATGCTCCACCGTATTCACTTTTCTGCAGTATATGCAGAAATCATGAGCACTCTTACTCTTACTCTTAAGGACTGGTATTAAGTAATACTTCGCTGTCCTGTATTGACATTTTGACCAGTGTAGTCCATCCTTTATCAAACTTTTTGTCCGTTGTCCCGTTTCTATATGGCCATCCCATTCTTTTTGCCACGAATTCAGACTTCTTCCTTTTTTATTTTTTGGCCGATTTGACGTGGATAGTTGATTCATCATTTGTGCCTTAGCAACTCCACGAAAAGGTTTCAGACTTTTAATGGCCTTAACTGAGCCTTCCCTGGCTAATCAGTCGGCATTTTTATTGCCTTGTTTTACAACGTGGTTTGTTACTCATTCTTAGGTCAATATTAACTGCTTAGCTCTGTCAGGTCTTGTGATAGGATATGATAGTATTGATATGTCAGTAAAGGAAATTAAAATTGCATATGGCGGATAGAGTCTAGACCTAATCAAAGAACATTCCCTTGTGAAATTCAAGGAAAGTTGGGATGAAACAAGAAACTGCAGAGTTGCCAGGGAGCTCTTAAGTTATCCTGACAACACTGCATCAAACAAATACTTGACTATGACTAGACAGAATCTACGCCTAGTCGCAGGCATTCTGATTAGTCATTGCCAAGTACGAAAGCATCTCCATATCATGGGGCTGTCAAAATCCGCACTCTGCAGAGGGTGCGAACAAGAAGATGAGACCATCGAGCATATTCTTTACGATTGCTCGACGCTTTCATTTATTAGAAAATTTGTGTTCGGCGAGTATCGGCTAACACCGGCCGATATAAGAGAAGAACCTCTTGGCCACGTTGTCAACTACATTAAATCTGTAGGCTGGCTCACGAGCTAGAAGGTGTCTATCTTCTAAGGAGGATGCACAATGGGCCTAATGAGGCCTAAGTGCCGTGAGATAACCCACCCTCCACACATTACAGATACAGATAGAGTCTAGATGAAAAAATAATTTTTTCGTTAAGGAAGCCAATCTAAACTTTCAGAAAGTTTGTGAATAAATAAAATCTATAATCGTCAAAATTAGAAAAATAAGCATCATTACTCAAAATCTTAATAATATTTTATCTTAATGGTAATATACAAACTTACACAATTACTACCTAATATGATGCGGGAAAACGAAATTTCCATTCAGAACATATTAAAAAATTAAAGAGAAAAACGCAAACTTCTTCTAAATGAGTTAAGGGCCGAGCTTTTCACCTCTGAGTAAAGTTACATCAGGAAGCAGTTACTTTCAACTTTACTCAGAGGTGAAAAGACTGGCCCTAAAATTAAATTATGAAACAATAATTTGAAGTATTTTGTAAAAATGAAATCGTTAATGAATTGTAAAGGAATCCGATTAAAAACTTCATTTTCAAATTACATTCCGAAATATCTACTTCGTCAAATTTTATCAACAGTTAACCGTCCTTGCTAAGATTAAACGATACCGACTATAAATCGAAATTTTCAATATTTCCTCGACATGGCAGAGCTACGCATTTTGAATTTGTTTTCCAATAAAAAACTAACAGTTTTTGATTTCAGTAGCAGCAGTGATGATATCGAAGAAGATCACTTTGTGGAAGAAAGAAGGAAAGTACCGCCTGTTTCTGCCAACAACCACCTCTACTGCCATTCTTCCTCTTTAGACTTACCCTCAGATGCCTTATACCATAACATGGATCCAAAGACTCAAAAGTAAGTTATTTATTGATTGAAAATGCAAGTTAAACTAAACTATATCCGTCCTAGAATCGCCTTAAAATAAAATTTTCTGTGTGTATCTACAAAGTTATTTATCGAGATTTTTAGAATTTTTTCTAAATGTCATCAAGATTCGATAGCAAGTCATAGTTGTTAATTGTGAGTCAGAAAAGAGGTACTTGAAAAATGTTCGAAAACAATTTGTTATGAATGCTTGCAAAATAGAATAAAAAAAATATTTATTGATTGTGCAGCATAACTGAAGGTATTATTTAGATCGTATCTGCTTTACTTATTTTTGATTCAAGAATAGTTTTAAATCATGATGCATAAAAAATACCACCTGATCTCTAATGATTTTTACAGTTGAAGGATTGTTGGAAAAGTTTTCGCTGTTTATTACATTTAGCTGGTCGCTATGTAAAACCTTTAATGGACCTTCATCTGTCCAGCCTAAGGATATAAGCATTTGATTAGACATATCAGCTGTAGGTAATTTATGATATTAAGGTGTGTCAGATACACTGCTTACTACTATATATATTTTAACTCCCTTCTACCGCAAGGTAGGCAAGTTAAATATTTCGATCCTTTCAATCCTATCTTTCCAAGGAAGTTTAGGATCGTCATCTTCTATTTACTTTACTTCCTTGGATTTTGTTGTTCTACACATTCCATCAGAATGTGAACGGGGGTACAAAACCTCATATTAGCGTCATCTGCACTTACTATTTTCTACTCTTACTAAGGACTCCTTTGATTCAGCAATTCTCGAAAAGGATCATCTTTGCTCATACAGATACAGGACTTCGATATTTTCTGGTAACTTTTTAGATGCAAAATGCATTTACGCACAGTCTTGGGTCTTCAAGGGTAGTGTGGGGCATAGATTACAATACTCATGCGTCTCTTCTGCAGTCAAGCGGTCTTCTCCTTTGTTTCTTTCGCCTTACTACTTCCTTTTCATATATTTTTATTAATAAGTCCTGGAATTTCTAAATTTGCAGTTTATCTAGAGTTTAAATCTTAAGATAATCCTTTTTGTCCTTTTCGGTAGTCTCGTTCCATCATGTTTACCATTGTAATATATCCCTTAGAATAGCTCAATTCTGCATTGCTAAGGAATGATAGTCTCTGATAGGTGGCATTAAAAAATATGAAAAGGCCAATATTAAGCGGGAGACTTACCTGTTGGTTGTCTGTCTGATCTCTGGAGTTTTTGGGGGCCCACAGCAGAAGTAGCACCGATGAAAAAAATAACAAAAACAAACACAAAACTCGATTTCGTCCATGGAGCGGTTCATTTGGTACTAATTGCTTTTAAGGTAAAAAAGTGCGTTTTCAATTGCACACCTGTGCGCCGACGCGAGTGATTCTCGAAATATTGGCATGAAATAAGTAGCACATTCTTTTGAACACAATATTGAGGGTCACTAACATCTCATTTTGAGAAATATTAATATAGAATGATAATTAAAATATTAGATGTGAAAGTACGTGTTAATACCTAACAGCTATCGACTTATGCTTTCTCTTTGTCGTTTTTTTTTTGTTATCGGCTTACTGTTACTGTTTCCCAGCGCCACTTTAGGAATAGCACTGTTAATTAGAGCTCAACAGTGAATAGTCGAGTGGGGAATCCTACCAAGGTATCAGAATTAATTTTAAATAATTAAATTAAATGAAAAAATCCTGGTCAACGGTTGGACCTGGGACCCTTGGATCCGCAGGTGAAGGCTCTACCACTGAGCCACCCACCCCCTTCTTCGTCGTTATTCAGTTCTTTCGGACCAACTATTCCTGTGTCTACTGTTATGTCTTCTGAAATAGTTTAGTAACTCTGAGTAAGACCCTCCGTTGTTTCTGTACTTGATTTCAACTGCTTTGCATCAAATTAGGGCTCTGTATAGGAGAATAAAATGCACCACAACACCCAGGACTTTCCTTTTAAGGCTACTTTGTCCTTCTATGTTCAGCATTAACCTGACCAGAGTTGCGATTTTCTTATCGGCTTTCTCGTTCACTCTACTAATGTGTACTCCAAAAGTGCTTTGATGATCTATGTGTATGCCAAAGTATTTTATGAATTTTCATGGGGTTATTTGCTGGTTTACCACGTTAAACTTTATTTATTCTCTGATCTTTATGTATTTAGTGTCTCTTGCAGTAATCAAACTGATGGACGCTGAAATTTGCTATATATACAAGATTCTCCTTATTTGTCGCTTGGACCATTATGGCCAGTCTATCTTCAAATGCTTCACTTTCACATTATTCTGCGAGTTGTAGATATACATACTCCAACCGATCCTTGCAGGGTGCCAGCAGTTACCTCTTAGTCGACATTTTTCTTTAGTTTATTCATGCGTTCCGAGAAGTAACTCTCTATAATGGCAGTCACGTATTTGAGTACGAGTTTCCCTTTTAAACTACCGATAATTAGTAGGCTGCTGAGTTGAAAGCGTCTGTAATGTCACCCATTGGTATGCCGAAGTCTTCACAAATTTCTTGTCCTATTTGACTACCATTACGGTAAACTTCCCCTTTCTAAAACTCAATTGACGTGTGGATAATCCTTCTGTGCCAAGTACTAGTTTCAGTCTCTTTTTAGTGATCCTTTAGTACACTTACTCGTCAGTAGACAGATGAGGCTATACAAGCTTGGATCATTGGGTAGTTTACTCTGTATCTGGATAAGTTCCAGTTTTGTCGTCATCAAACTCGTAGGAAACTCCTGTTGGTTTAATAGAAGATTTAATATTCCAAGGATCAGTTCCGGTTTCAGTTTTACATTGCGAGACTATATCTGCAATAACGTTACACATGGTGTCCCAGGCACCAAATGAGAGTAATTTATTCGCCTAGCTTTATTTTTTATATACACTTTCAGACCTTTTTTGAGATGATTACGTAAGAGCTCATCATATTGATGGATACTTGTATATTGAGATTCATGAAAATCTCTTTTATTGATGTTTAACTAGATAAATTTCCTGATAGCATGATTTTTCCTCTGGAAAATAATATTTACACAAACTTTAAGATTATTTGGTTCAAGGCACATACAACCCTATTACAGTCACTTCTGTGGTTTTGGAACTACCCGTATACCACCGATGGTTTTATTTTAGGTCGCGGAGACAATTGATTATGTGCTCAATTCTTTTTTACAGCCGAGCTTTGTGATTTTTGATGTTTTTCTCAAAAATGTACTTGTTTCCTTCTGGGACCTAAATAAAAAAATATCAGTTTATCTTCTGACATCTGTTGTAAAAACAAATTCTCAACTTTTTGTCCTTCGATCTTCATTGACTTTACTCAGTAGACATTGGCTCACTATTTACAAGAACATTTGTTTGTAAGCACCTTTTATTTAACTATCTCTAAGTAGGTACTACATGCGCTATTACACTTCATGAATAGTGTAGTTTTTTTATTATATTAAACATTTACAAATTAAGTCTTGAAGACTACTACTAAGACTACTGCTTTTTCGTTCTTGTCTATGTGGACTTGTGTGTATAAATACTATATTAACTGTTTTTTTTTTTATAGATTGACATCATAGGTATAAAAAAAACCTAAGTAATATATGTACGTACCACGGTAGACCTCGTCAAACGCAGAAGTAGTTTTGGGTTTTAAATAATTGGTAATTAGGTATAAATGAGCGAGCATACATGTCAGTTCGAAATGTTTGAAGCTGGACCAAGTGCTGGTGTGATTTACTAAAATATAAGGTTCTTAAAAATATTAAGTCGTTAATCAATCGAAAAGCCATTCTTCGAAACTCCCCACCTTTGTAGGTGCTGTTTTCTGCTCCTCAAACTTATAAACCGAAGTCGCGATCAGGTATAATTTTACCATTTTCAGGCGGTAAGATAAAAAAAAATATTTGCCAAGTCTAAATAAGAATACAAATTTCTTACTAACAGTAGTAGCAATGGATAGCCCATGATTTTATTAAATCAGTGTGCTTTCTATTTGGAAGTAGGCTTTGAAATTGACAATATTTTTCAGCCCTTAGCACTTAGCGATAATCAAAAAATCATTGTTATAATGGGAGACGTAACATTATATGTGTTTGGATATCGAGCTTACTGGAACATATGTAGTGATAAACTAATTATCATCTGCAAAACTATTAATAACCTTATAAGTGTCTGAGAGAAGAACATAGCGATAGTGAGGCTGCTATTTTAAAATATTAACTAAAAAATAAATATTTTCATTACAAAATTTGTAATATCAATCTAATTTTTTTCAGAACCCTTACATACATAATCAATGAGATGATCGAAACCGAACGAGACTACGTAAAATCTCTAGACTACGTCATAGTTAATTACATTCCCGAATTGCAAAGAGAAGATATACCCCAAGCCTTAAGAGGTCAAAGAAACACGGTTTTCGGTAACGTGGAAAAGATATACGAATTCCACAGCCAACATTTCCTGAACGAGTTAGAAGAGTGCATTAATAATCCGTTACAAGTTGGTCAAATATTTTTAAAATACGACAAAAGGTTTTATTTGTACGCCCTGTACAATAAAAATAAACCCAAGTCTGATTCGTTAATGTCTGAGTATGGATCGTCATTTTTTAAGGTAAGAAAGACGAAAAATATCTTCATTAAAACAACACCGATTTACTAAAACGTTTTAAGATGGTAAAAGACATGGTTCGAACTATTTCTTGTAAAGTGGTGGAAATACCCCAAGTTCGCTGACAAAAGAGTATCGCATTTTTAGTTACAGTTTGCACGTGTTTTCTTATTTCAGTTGCGCTTTGTTGTTGCTTAGCAGCGTAAACTGTATTAAGGTGCGTTTACAAGAATACAAGAAGTCACTTTGAAAAAATTAATGGCGGATTCGACTGGCTGCAATAATGTGCATTTAGTTCGACTTTTTTAAGTGGTGTCTGTTCGACTGGCAGAACCTAATGAATTAAAAGTCAATTATTGCATTCGACTCAAATTGCTCGGTATCAAGGCATAGTGAAATTTTTGTTCGACTGACAGGCGTTCTTGCTCAAAGTTCGAATTTTTTGGAACTGTACTTTTTTTCAGTGCCAGTGTCATTTTGAAGGTTAAGAATTATTTAATATTTTTAAATATATTACCATCTTTTTTTTTTTTTTTTTTTTTTTTTTTTTTTTTTTTTTTTTTTTAATTTGGTGTCATCGGCGTCGACTACTACGGCCATTAGCCTCGTGTTCTGTGTAGGCTTTGTTACTGTTTCCCAGCGCCACTTGTTTTCATTATTAGTGAGAATGGAAAATCTTTGAAATTAATAGAAATTTAATTTTTGGTTTGGCAACTATAAATAAATATCGTGAAAACTTTGTTAGAAACCTGAAATGTCAAGTGCTAACTGTGTTAGTCGAATAACGATAAAGATGCGCTACACCAATGTCGAATTCTAGCTCGTGCTTGCTGTGTGCACTGCTAGATATAAATTTATATTATAAAAATGCTGCGCAAAATCAATTCAGAACTAAAAACGCTTTGTCATCGAGCAAGAGATTTGAGTCGAATCCGCTATAAGATTACGTTTTACATTTCGTACTTTATAAATAAATTTCCCAGCTGAACATTGGTTTTGAGGTTTTTAACGATAATCCAAAACAGGTACAAATTCGTGAAACAGACTTTTTCTTTAAAAAATATATTATAACAGTAGACAGAAAATATTTATTGGAAAACTCCTATAAATTTTTTTAATAAATATAATTTTTTTACAACTGGACTCTGATTGGTATTGGTATTTTTCCCAATCGGAAACTATTATGTTTCAAACAAATAGTTTTTTCTGAAAGCGAGCACAAAATGTAATGTAACAGTATATTTTTCAAATTTTTTTTTTCAAATTTTCCTACAAAACTTTTTTAAAATTCCAAAAAACTCAAGCAAATTTGAAACGTACGCCCCAATGTTTTTAAACCTTGTTGTCGCCTCTTATAAAGAATAAATGAAATTCCGGGTAACGGACAATTTAAAGGTTAAGATCGTATATTTTACAATAAAAACATATCGTCGCCCTCATCACGAAGTAGCATAAGTGACAAATAGTAAATTTTACAGCAATAAAACGAAAATACGTAATTCTCATATCGTAATGCGTTATTGCAGATAGGACACAGAAATAATATGCTGTATTGCATGCACTATTAAGGTTGTAGATGTGCCACTTCGTGAGATGATAAAGTAGGTCATGACTAGTTAATCCGCACAAATTTTTTTTTTTTTTTAATTTTTGTTGGTTAGGTCACTTCGTGATAAGGGTGACGATATATATTAAAAATAAAACAATTCTTGATTAAATTCAGGTTTTAAGAAGAAATTTATTATTTCAATAAACTTTCTTCTTAATCGAAATATTCAAATCCTAATCGCGATATCACGAAATATTTTCTCTAAGTCTGGACATGTTGTTGTTTCATCTGCCCATCTAAATCCTAACCTTGTTTTCGATTGCGAGATTATTTTGATTTATTTTAAAATTCATATTTAATTTTTTTAAAAATACAAGTACAAGTACAAACAGGATTAAAAGAATAATCTTTAGACAACTTACCCAAGGTGGATTCTAACATGAACATTGATTTTTATGTAAATAATATAAAGTTTATTGGCTCCGAAATTTGCAACGTAAAGACGAAAACAGTAAGTACACTTTCTAAGCTCCAAATATTTCTAGAATTATTGTATTAAAAAAAAATTGTGTTTAAAAAAAGGATAAACTCACTACTCAATATTGTTGACATTTTATTTTGGATATACCTACCTATTTATTAAATAAAAATTATTCTATTGTAGGTCTACCAAGGAAGTGCACTATCATATGTTCGGTTACAATTTGTAACTTTAAAGCTATAATTACCTCAGAATACAAAATGGTATATTAGGCAACGATCACGTAATAACCATTACATGAGAGTTGCATACACTATTTTTTCTACACCCGATAAGTAATCAAGCACTATAAATATTATATTTATATTTGTATTGAACACAATAACAGTAATTACTTGTATTTCTATAAAAAATTCTTCGGGTATTGGTATTACCATAGATTTTTGGGGCAAAATATTTTGTACTGCATTTTCTGCTTTCTCCAATATGTGTGGAGGAGTCGATGGTAAGTCTTCTATATCGCTGATATCAGATATTTTGATAATATAATTATCGAAGTTTAGCTATCTACAAAAATTTAATACGTACTGATTTTGACAACTAAAACAATTACATAGGAACCTAGGACAAACGTCAAATGCACAACATACTTGATTGAAAAATTATGGGTTTTTATTGATTAAAAATCTGTATCGTTATGAAAAATCTGTATCATAATGGGTATCATTATGAAACGGATTATGGGCATATAAGTGCATTATTATAATACGGGTGTGGAAAAAGTTTATACCGTTATTCTGAATTGCTACTTTTTACGTTTCTGGTGCTTAAAAGCATTAGAATTGTATTCGATTTTATGGCAAATATTAGCATTTAGTGCGATAATGAGAATCAGCCGTTTGATCAAGATTTAGCTTTCACAGCTTAGAGCGCGCATGCGCAAATGAAACTTAATAAGAATATGCCTATTAAAATCCAACTAGAATTTTAATGGTCATATATTGGCAGTTTTTTCTACGTTGATCAAAACAACTGTCCCTTAACTTATTAAGTATAGTGATGGTAGGCCATTTTCAATAAATGATAAATACCTCCGGTTAAAAAAAAACGGAAATTGGGGTCTATTCTGTAACAATTCCTTTATATTTAACGGCCTTTAAAAATATTTTCTTCTTTACTTTTGTCATTATTTAAACAGATCTTTAAAATACATTAGAGTACTATCTTAAAGAAATCTGTTTAAATAATGATAGAAGTAATTTAACGAATACGAAACTATTTTTAAAGGCCGCCAATATTTTTAAAGGCCGTCAAATATAAAGGAATTGTTACAGAATAGACCCCATTAGCAGTTTAAATCGCCCGAAATCTTTGCGTAGGGTTCAATTAAAATGTCTAATTTTTTTTTTAATCTTTATAATATCAGACACTTTGGCAACATAGTTAAAGTCGTAAATGAACGGGTCATTCATGTTTGCCTGGGGTGTCAACTAAGCAGTCGCCGATGCCAAAATAAAGCTCACTGGCATTGAATGCTAATTCGCTACCGAATGTGCTGCTTGGAAGCTCGAAAAGTCAAAATTTGTGAGGTTATGTTAAATATTATTAGAATTTAAGATTTTCGGGTTTAATAATGCAAACAATGAGTAAAATTCTGGGATCGTTCGGTATGTTCCCTATATTCATTTTATGTAACACTCCCAATAAAGCTTTCAGTGCAGTATGTTGTACGTTAAAATTCAGAGCCCATTGCCACAAAAGCTGAACGTTACTTTCCACTATATTATCATGATTCTTAGAATTTTCACCCTCAACTTAAAATTGTCTTAGTCTATAATTTGACTATCGATTGCCTTAATAGATATTTGAAGAGTATTATCCTATGAGACGAAGAAGGAAGCTGGACCGTATTTATACCCAATTTCTTATTATTTAGAAGCTTAATTTGTCTACTTTTATTTAGGCGCCTATTATATGCACCCGTCCATCCAAATTTTCTAAATTTTGATATTTTACCGATTAGCACAGTATTTTTCTGCATGTCGTCGTTCAGTCTACAAAAAGTATTTGAGGTTAGCAATATTTACTGATTTTTTTTTATTTTATGACCATTTCAAATCCATAATAATGCCAATATACTTCAAAACATAGTTTTTAAAAAGTATTAAATGAGGCATTTACGTATGCAATAATTCTAATTTAAATGCCAACTAGCCGCGTTTTTATTTGGCATTTAAAAAAGCAATTAATTCTACTTTTTGATGACTGTTTGTGGACTGATGGCAATCATTGCCAATTCGCTCTTGTATTTAGCAGTCAAAGCGAATTGACTGCTTTAAATGAATGCTCAAATAAAGCCTCAAAGAAATGCTAAAAATGTGCTAATCTTTGGTCTTTTTTCGGCATTTAATGGCTTGGATCGAACATTATTTACTTTTGTGTTACTTGGGTTAATAACTGCCACCTGACATAATAACATGATGAAATTAATCTACGACGTACCAAAATCTAGAAACTTTTTGTTTCATCGATTGTACATTTAAACAATAAAGAAAGCGACGACTTGGGGTATTTCCGAGACTTAGTGCAAGCTTATTATTATAACAGAAACAGTGAAAAATAAACTTAAAGTATTTTGACTTTGACAAAGTTATGAAGACTAGAGATAAGTAGGCGAATCGGCATGCTTAAAATACGGTCCCAAAAATCACACGTCAATTGAACTTTTATAATTAAGCGCATGGGCGCTGGTACGGTTTACGTAGTTCAAAATACATGGCTTCTTATGAGAATTATACATAATTTTGTCAAAATAATAAAAATAAACTTGTTTATAGCTAAATAAAGCACATAACATACTGTTGTGTTTATTTCTAAGTAAGTCTTACATATTTTAATTAATACATTATTTACTATTTATTCCTATTTAAGTAAAATGCAAAATATTGATGATAAGTGTTGAAATTTGATGGGTAAGGCTAATTATTTTTTAATTAAAGCTAAAATAGGGCTGAGGGCATACTAAGACATGGTTTAAATGAAAATATTTAGTTAGGTATTTTACAAAATTTTATGAAAATAATAAAAATCAAATTGTTTATTGCTAACTAATGTACAGAAAATACTGTTTTCTAGTAAGTTAAATTTAATGTGTAATTATTTATTTATGACTTTATTATTTTTTATTATAGAATTTTGTAATTAAATAAAATACACTCCGTAATATACGGGTTGTGACTATTTTACAATAAATATATATTATTTGGAAATAAATACATTATTTTACTTACACTAGGAGCTTTAAAAAGACTTGGATTTTTATCTCCTTGTGTTTTCTTTAATTTTATATCGGAATTATATCCCGTTTTTCAACCCGGAATGAAGCAAATCCTGCTTTGCCGTTTTTTTGTTATTCATTGTTACTTGTAGTCAGGTTATTTTTATTCTTTTCACTAAATTTTACAAAAATCACTTTAATTCCCATTGACTTACATAGAAAATAGACGTCGTTATTTTGCCACCCGCCAACTACAGTAGTTTTTTGGAACTCCATAAAAATAGAGACGGAAATTTGAAATTTGACCAATGCCGATTCGCCTCCTAATCTCTAGTCTTTATAGACAAAGTCTATGTCAATAATATAAAATGATTTGTATTTTATGCTTTGTCTCATGTTTCATCGTTTATTGTCTGCTATCGTCCTGAGTTATTTATTTTGGGAAATAAAAATACGTCAACATTTTTGCAGAGCAAGCAACTGGAATTGGAAGACAAAATGGACCTAGCCAGTTATTTGCTCAAACCGGTTCAACGAATGGGAAAATATGCTTTGCTGCTCCAACAAATGATGAAGGCTTGTCCTATATCAAATCTTAATCCTTCAGAGAGGGGTATACAAGATATCGAAGACTTAAAACAAGCCGAAGAAATGGTTAGGTTTCAATTAAGACATGGAAATGATTTATTGGCTATGGACTCTATAAGAGAATGCGATGTAAGTTTGTCTCTAACAATTTTGTATTACCTATTTACTTTTAAGTCGAATACATTTTACCAATTTGCTAATTATTTTTAGGTCAATCTAAAAGAACAAGGTCGTCTACTCAGACAAAACGAATTCTTAGTTTGGGAAGGTCGCAGTGGTAAGAAATCGCTTAGACAGGTGTTCTTATTTGAAGAATTGATATTGTTTAGTAAAGCAAGAAGATTCCCAGACCGAAAGGTAAGATTAAAGATTAAAATTAAACATTGTGATAGGAATTTATTGGTTATTGCTAAAGAAAGCTTTAATATTAACAAGTTGATGGACAGTGACGTCGACCGGCGTCTTCGCTTGCATGCCAAATATGGTAGGATGCCGTCCGGCATTCAAAGTAATATCGCTGGTATCCCGTATAAAATGCTAAGGGCGCATGGTTTTTGCCACATTTGAGACCTTTTACATTATAATACCGCTGTTTTTAAAGCGTCATAATTTTGTTACACGTGCCGTCCCCCCCCCACTCTAAAGAAACCTACCAAATTGCGCTGTACGCTGCAGACGTCCTGCAGACTGCAGTACTATAGGGGTCGGCATAAGTCAGGCAATTAGGTTTTAGTGAGTTTTAAATTTATGGAATAATTTGTAATTATCTCTTAGTCATATAAATAATATGGAATTTTATAAATTTCTCGCATTAAGACCATTAGTGACCTTTATTAAACGTGAAAATGACGTCCTATTTGGTTCACCTAATTGACGTTCTGGCCAATACGTCAAAATGTCGTCATTTTAAGGTCATGTGATATCAATGACATTAAATGACTAAATATTGACGTGCAAATGACGTCAGCTGATTACGTGGGCTATATTAAATTCGTTTGAATTATGTATTTTGCATACTTAGGGATGCTGTTTATAACAGATGAGTGACACTAAAGATCTTTACAAAAAGGAACAAAGAAGGCTGAAGAAACTATATAACGAATTTTTCTAGTGATGATGAGGAAGAAGATCCTTATCACGACAGCGACGGTGGGTCAAATCTAGATTTTGTTCCCAGCTGAACTTCAGGCACCGATGTACCCGTGGTGCGTAAGGAGATTCTAAAGTAAAGACTTTCTTATCAATCTTCTATCATCAGATCTTGAAAATGATGATCAAAGCCCCCAGTTATCTGACGCTGTACCAGATGACCTTGACCCAGAATGTAGTGGTGATGGGGCCCGCACTATACCAGAAAAACCTGATTTATAGGACACGACAGATCCAATTCCCACTTTCGATTTCGATGAAGATAGTGTTGGGGTCAAAATAAATATTGACGAAAATTCCTCTTCCTTTGATGTTTTCGAGTCATTGTCCATACAGCACGAACACATTTCAGAAATATTTAAAAAAATATTACATTGAAACATTTGTAATGTTGTATTATTATTACGAAACATTTCTGAAATGTGCCTGAAACGTAAAAACGTCCCCTAAATATAATATTTCGCAGTAATATTTCTGAAATAAAAATTTGAAATCTTTTAGAAATATTAAATAGTAATATTTCAGAAATCTATTCTAGCTTTTTTTAAATATTAGATTAAAAAAAGCCATTTATAAATATACATGTTTATTTAAAATAAAGAAATAAAACTTATAACTACATATTCCATCTTCTTCTTTTTCTTACAAATCAGAAATTCTTCATAATAAGTGTTGGGCTTTAATAACATAACACGTTTAGAAACCTTTTGTGTAATATGTATACGATGTTTCAGAAACATTTTCAGTGATTTATTTAACTAAAATATTTCAGAAATATTTCAGAAACGTGTACTTGAAATGTTTGAAACGTTTGAGATATTTCTGAAACATTTCTGAAATAATGTGTGCTGTATGGGTGTTCAAACAATTATGCCGCATTTCTAGGCAACACAATTCGCCCAAAAACAAGGAACTGCAGAACAGTCGACGAGCTAAAGTCCTTTTTTGGTTTTTAGAGTTTGCAACAAAAAAGACAAATACCGAATAAAGTTTTATCAGTTAACGACATCTGATGGGTATGTGTTAAATTTAGAAATGTACAGTGGACAGGATACTAAAAATAATGGTGCAAGTGGTAATTCTACAACAGAAAACTTAGTTCTTCGTCTAATGGAACCTTACCTACAAAAATACCACGAGTTGTTTATGGATGATTTTTATAATAGTGTTGCATAGTCAGAAAAATTATTAGAACTAAAGACGCATATTTATGGTACCCTAAGGTCTAACCGCCGGGGTTATGTTATGTTGAGAATGGGGTGTTAATACACTGCGACCTAAAATATCTATTGTGCCCCCTTCTGTCGCCACTGCACTAAGGAAATGACTCAATGCCTATAGCGACCCTTCCAATCCTATTTTCTCAAGGAAGTGTAGGATTTGAAGTGGCTTCAAGTTAGGTAAATCTCCCTCTTCTATTTGATATCCTCCTAGATATAGTGCCCTTGGATTCTGGAGTGCTACACATTCAGTTAGCATGTGAATGGAGATTTCGTCCTCCTCCTCACAGAATCTGCACTCACTATCCTCTACTACTCTCAGTTTACTTAGGTGTCCTTCAACCGCCGGGGTAATCCCAACGACCTAGTAAAAAAACAATTAAAGCGCGCTGAACATTTTTGGGTGGTATATTGTATATGTGTCTAAATGGAAAGACGAACGTGAAATTTTGATGCTTACACAAATCATATTGGTATTATTACAGTAAGGAACAAATATGGTCAAGAAAAACTTAAACCCGGAGAAGTAGCTTCTTACAACGATCATATGTCGGGTGTTGATCGGGGGGATTAGGTTACTGCAACTTATAACACTAGGAAAATCATTAGATAGTTTAAAAAAATTATCTTATACCTTCTGGATTTAAGTACGTGGAAGTCTTTTTATGTTATGTTGGGAATGGAGTGTTAATACGCTGCGACCCAAAAGATCTGTTGTGCCCCCTTCTGTCGCTAATACAGCAAGGAAATGTCTCAATGCCTATAACGAACCTTATAATCCTATCTTCTCAAGTAAGTGTATGATTTGGAGTGACTTCAAGTTAGGTATATCTCCCTCTTCTATTTGATATGCTTCTAGGTTTAATGCCTTTGGATTCTGGAACTCTTTTTTTACTTATATAGAAAATATTGCAGAAGAAGCTCCCGAAAATACCTGTTGGAAATATTCAAATAAAATTTTAGTGCCCCTTGTATGATATATTTTTTTTAGTTTGAAAGTTGTATAATGTCATATATAAAAAAAAAAGATTAGTTGTCAATAAAATATCTTTATTGGAAGACGTTATATATTTTATTGTTAAGGTTTAAATAGAATCCTTTCAATTATCTGAAATCTGTAAGATTCCAGCAGTCCAAACAGGTCAAATTTACCACATTTGGCGACCGTGACCAGGAAACGATCTGTTGAACTTCGAGGATGGAAAGGATTAAGAAAGCCCGTATGGGCCAACGACGTGCATTTACAAAGTTGTATAATAATCTTCATGAGTTATTGTTCCAATCTAAACCAGATATGATACAATTAGAAGTAAATATAAGAAATTTTGATCAAAGATTTAACTCCATTAAAGAATTAGATCAACAAATGTATGATCATTTACTAAACATCAGTTCAAACGAAGATGATATTGTTACAGAGCTTGAACCATCGGAAGAATATCTTACTAAGTATAATTTTATTAAAGTTTCTTACGAAGCAATGTTGAATAAGAGAATATCTGATAAAGCTGATGTTAAGAGTATCAGTGGAGATACCGTTCGTGGTCAAAATAAGTTAAACTTGCCGAAGATCGAATTTAAAAAATTCGGTGGAGACGTAAAAGACTGGTTGTCGTTTTGGAGCCAATTTCGTCGCATACATGAAGATCAAGAAATTGATGAAGAGGACAAGTTTCAATACCTAATTCAAGCTACAGCCCCTAAAACCAGAGCAAGACAAATAATAGATAGCTTTCCTCCTACTAGTAATAACTATTCCAAAGCTATCGATAGCCTCACATCTCGTTTTGGTAGACCAGATCTCTTAATAGAAGTCTATGTTAGAGAACTACTTTCCCTTATACTTAATAATTTAAATAAGGAGGTAAAACTTGCAGATCTTTATGATAAAATGGAAACACAGTTAAGAGCACTTGATACATTAGGCGTTACTTCGGATACATGTGCAGCTATGTTGTTTCCGTTGGTAGAGTCTTGTTTACCAAAGGAATTTTTGAGAGCTTGGCAAAGAAGTAGTTTATACAACTGCGATTCTTCATTAAAAGATCGACTAAATAATATTATGGAGTTTTTAAGACGAGAAGTCGAGAGCGAAGAAAGAATATTGATGGCCGCTTCTGGTTTTAATATTAAAGGCGGAAATAATAAATTGATGAAGAGAGATATGTTTTGTCAAGAAGAAAGTGTACCTACTGCGTCAGGACTAATAAATCATAAAAGTTCACCCAAATGTGTTTTTTGCAACGGTTTTCATTCAAATGCAGACTGTACGAATGCCAAAAAGTTTTCATATGAAGAAAAAACGAGAATTTTAAAAGATAAAAGGTGCTGTTTCATATGTCTAAAATTTGGACATGTATCTAGAAATTGTCACGTAAGAATCCACTGTAATATCTGTAATAAACGCCACGTGAATCTTATGTGTCCTGAGAATGATAAGAAAGAAAATAACGTACATGAAAATAAAAAGCAAATTGATCTTCCACCAAGTGAAACTCTATCAAATAGCACACATTGTGAAGTATTCCTGCTGACTCTAAAAGTAAAAATTATGGGTCCTAATAATTGTTATCAATACGCACGAGCTATAATAGACACGGGGTCCCAAAGAAGCTATATTAGCAAATCTTTAGCGTCTACAATGCAATGTGTTCCTCTAGGTGAAGACGTTATAATGCACGCTTTATTTGGTGGTGTATATTCAGAGAACATTAAACATATAAGATATAGGATTTGGCTGAACAGTGTAAATGATAGTTATTCATGTAATTTTGAAGTTCTGGATCAAGAAGTTATATGTAATAGTATCAATCATGTGAAAGAAGGACCTTGGATAAAAGAACTCGAAAGTTTAGGCATTGAAATTAGTGACAGAAATCCTGAACCTGTAAATATATTAATAGGAGCTGACATTGCTGGAAAATTAATAACTGGCAAACAGTATAAACTAGACTGTGGTTTAGTAGCTGTAGAGACTTTACTAGGGTGGACATTAATGGGAAAAGTTTTTGGTGGTTCCTTATCAAATAACATGATAGTTACTTCATTGTTTTCGGCGTATAAAGAAATTTCTGATCTGTGGAGCTTGGAAACCTTGGGTATAAAAGATCCGGCTGAAAAGAAAACAAGAGAGCAAGTAGAAATAGCAGTTAAAAAACATTTTCTTGAAACTGTTTCTATAAATTCAGAAGGAAGGTATGAAGTAAATATGCCATGGTTGCAAGGACATCCCCCGTTACCCACTTATGAAGATATAGCTAGAAAAAGATTAGAAACTGTTACCGAAAAATTGAAGCGTGAAGGATATTTTGATGATTACAGCCAAGTCTTTAGAGAATGGCTACAAGAAAATATTATTGAGGAAGTACCACTCAACGACTTAGCAGAAACCAAAGGACACTACCTACCTCACAGACATGTAGTTAAATTAAGTAGTAAGACTACAAAGATTCGTCCCGTTTTTGATGCCTCAGTCCACCAGAAAAATCAACCTTCATTAAACCAATGTTTAGATAAAGGATTAAATTTAATAGAGTTGATACCTTTAATTATGATAAGATTTAGATTACAAAGATATGGAGTTGTATCAGATATAAGAAGAGCTTTTCTGCAGATAAGTTTGTCGCACTATGATAGAGACTTTTTGCGATTATTTTGGTATGGTGAGAATAACGAAATTAAAGTTTACAGACATGCTAGAGTCGTCTTTGGAGCAACTTGCAGTCCATTTCTGTTATGTGCCGTAATTGACTACCATTTGAAAAAAAAAGATGAATGAGAGTATAGATCATTCATCTTTGTTTACTCCGTGGATAATTTCAAACCTTGCCAAAAGTTTCTATGTTGACAACTGCGTGACAAGTGTTGATAGTATTGAAGATTTGCACCAATTTATAAAAGAATCAACTGATATGATGTCTGAAGGAATGTTTGATTTAAGATGTTGGGAGCATACGAGGGTTGATCAAGATGAAGACGATATCGAAAATGTTATTCCAGTTTTAGGATTAAATTGGGATAAAAGAGAAGATGCCCTGCTAATTAACAATGATTGTTTTAAGGATAACATATCAAATAAAGTGACGAAACGTAAAATTTTATCTTATGCTCAAAACATTTTTGATCCTATTGGATTTTCTTGTCCAGTTTCTTTGTGTCCGAAAATGTTATTACAAAAAATTTGGAAGATGAAGATAGGATGGGATGTTGAAATTCAGGACGATATCAAAACAGAATTTTTGCGATGGTTGAATGAATTGTCTTGTTTGAAAAGGTTAACAATTCCACGATGGCTAAATATATCTCCATATTCTGAAAATTTGAGTTTACATGTTTTCTGTGATGCATGTCAAAATGCTTATGCTTGTGTAATATTTTTAAGATCCGTAACTAACAGCACAGTTTATGTGCATTTACTTCAAGCAAAAGCGAGGGTATCACCAATTAAAAGGGTTACAATTCCCCGTTTAGAGTTGATGGCCGCAACAATTGGAGCTAGGCTATCACAAGCTGTAAAAGAGGATTTTGATAAAAATATATTAATATATTGGTGGACAGATTCTACTACCGTTTTATCATGGATAAAGAGGGAGGAAATATGGAAACCATTCGTGTGGAATCGAGTAGAAGAAATTCGAAAATTGACTCATAAACATTTTTGGTACTATGTTCCGGGAGAATTGAATCCAGCAGATCTACCTTCCCGCGGGTGTAGTCCTAAAGCTTTATTAAAATCTAATTGGTGGCTTGGACCAGCTTGGCTATATAAAAGTGAAGAAAGCTGGCCATCTCAGCAGTTTTTATGCAATGAAGATCTAGTTTATACAGAGAAGAGGAGTGAGATAATTTCTTTGTTTAATGATACATTAGCCGATGACTGGTATTATAGATACTTTTCAAAATTTGAGAAAATTGTTAGATTAATAGCCTGGATTAACAGATTTATTTTTAATTGTCGAAATAGGAAAAATAAAAGAATAGGAAGTTTGGACGTTGAAGAAGTTTTAGCTGCAGAAACTAAATTATTTTAACTTATACAAAGAGAATGTTTTGGAAATATTAAACATGAAAAATTATCAACGTTATGCCCTTTTACAGATGACCAGGGAATAATTAGATTACGGACTAAAATATCAGAAAGAAGCGATAATGAAGAATTTCGCTTTCCTATTGTTTTACCGTCACAACACCTTGTAGTAAAGAGGCTGATTTATGATCAACATGTTAAATTCTCTCATGTTGGTATACAAGGTTTGCTGAGTATTTTACGAGAGAAATTTTGGATACTCACCGGTAGACGAGCAGTCAAATCCATCATCAATAAGTGTGTAGTTTGTCGAAGATTCGAAACTAAAAGGTTGAATACACCTCCCGTGGCATTACCAAAAGATCGATTTGATAATGCTTCAACATTTGAAATAACCGGTGTTGATTTTGCTGGACCACTGTTTTTAAAGAATTTGGAAAAAGTTTGGATCTGCATATTTACGTGCGGAATATACAGAGCCATCCACCTGGAACTTGTTACATCACTTTTAACGGAAGTATTTTTACAAGCATTACGAAGATTCATTGATCGACGAGGACGACCCAGAATTATCTATAGTGATAATGGAACTAACTTCGTCGGAGCAGAAAATATGTTTGAAAAATTGGACTGGAAAGTGATTTCTGAATACAGTACGATTCAGAGAATTAGATGGAAATTCAACCCTGTAACAGCAGCTTGGTGGGGAGGATGGTGGGAGAGGCTTGTCAGATTAGTAAAACAGTTACTACGGAAAACTTTAGGAAAATCGTCTCTCAATTTTGAAGAATTGTCTACTGTAATATGTGATTGCGAGTCTATTATTAATTCTCGACCCCTGACATACCTCTCAGAATCCGGTGACGATTTAATGGCTTTAACACCCAATATGTTTTTGCAAGACTTAAACAAAACAACTAACGTTACTGATATTGACAAAGTAGATTCCTCACATTTTACGAAACATATTAGATATAGACAGAAATTACGAGATGCTCTAAAAGAAAGATTTCGTAATGAATATTTGGGACAACTCATTTTATATTCAAAAACAAAAATACATAAAGTCAAGAAAGAAGACTTGGTATTTATTGGACATGACAATATGAAACGTATAGACTGGCCCTTGGCGATCGTAGAGGAAGAAATACATGGAAAAGATGGAGAAATACGATTATTACGACTAAAGACAAAATCAGGCCACATATTGCGACCACTCCAAAGAGTATTTCCTTTAGAGGTCGAAATCAAAGATAGATCATTATTGGGGAACTCAAATATTAGTGAAAGACAGACTTCCATTTCATCTAAAGAAGCTACAAAAATATCTGATTCCAAAACCGAGGTGACCCGAAGTGGAAGAACAGTAAAACATCCCCAAAGATATGGTTTGAGTCAGTGATGTGACTTCAAAAAGGGGGAGAATGTTGGAAATATTCAAATAAAATTTTAGTGCCCCTTGTATGATATATTTTTTTTAGTTTGAAAGTTGTATAATGTCATATATAAAAAAAAAGATTAGTTGTCAATAAAATATCTTTATTGGAAGACGTTATATATTTTATTGTTAAGGTTTAAATAGAATCCTTTCAATTATCTGAAATCTGTAAGATTCCAGCAGTCCAAACAGGTCAAATTTACCACAATACCGATTTTTGGAATTTAGAGACGACATCATTAGATATTGAACTAAGTTACCCCAAGATGTAGATATGTTTGGCAAAAAGATGTATCATGTCCGCCTTAGCCGACCTGAATAAAGACAGGGCAACTGGCCCGAAAAAAAATTCAGGGACTCCTGGACAAAAAACAACAAAAAATCAGTTTTTCAAAAATGCAGAATGTGTTCAAAAAAGGAAATCAGGCGAGAAACAAGCTTAAGTTGTAAAAGTTGCCCGTCTATGCGCAATATGCTTTGAGGAATGGCATGTCCAAAGACAATAAAATTTTTATTAATTCTTATTTTAGATTTTTTTTGTTTTTTAGATTTTGCTTAAAATTAGTTTTCAGTCGTTCATAGGTTTTGAAATAAAGTTAGAAAAAACATCCTCTAAGTATGTTCAAATTGTTTAGAGAAAGGGCGTAACCTAGGAAAAATGTTTCTATTAGTTAGTTGTATTCGTGTTTTTTATTTATTTTTTGTTTTTTATCCTTTGTTTAAGCTCCTAGTTGAGAATAAAACAAATGGAGAGGGTGTTCCATATTTTGACATATTGTAATTATATTTGCCAATAAATTGAATAAAAAAGTATTCTAGAGGTCATAAAAATATTTACCTCAACTTTTTAGGGCTCTGAATCCCTAAAAAGTTGCTTCCCTCTGACTACGCTCCTGATTTATATAATATTTTCAACAAGACGTCTATTTTCCCTTTTCAAATATGACAGGACGTCTATCGGCGTCAACTTTCAAACTCCTGTAAATCAAATTTTTTAACTGTTTTCAAATTCTAAGCGGTTTGCTATACTTTGTAAGGAAATTTGTTCAGAAGTACGGGTGTAATTTTTGGAACCGACGACTTTTCTGCTGTTCATCAACGTGTTAAAATCAGCAGTATTTTTAAATATAAAGATAATTACTGTTTATTGGTTACTTTTATATATCTCCAGCGCGATCTTGTTACTCGAAGAAAAACACTTTTTCAATAATTATAAAAGTTACGAGTCTCCAGATACTTTAAGACCGTATACTGCCCTCCTAAGCCAAAAAGCGGTATCTCAGTTGAAGCTAGGGTCAAAAAAATGTATTACTTAAAATCATTTCCTGTTTTCGAATATTACTTTCGAAGTTCTTATTTCGTATAAGCTTAGTAATAATGGCATACATGTTGAGTTTTTACTATTTTTCTTAGTTTTTAAGCTATCCGCTGCATTAAAAAAAAGTTTTTTAAATACCGGTTTTTGGTTTAGAAAGGCAGTATATATAATCAAAACTAAGCATTGTTTTTGTTCTAGAATCTCGATTTGTATATATACAAAAATAGTATCAAAATGACTGATATTGGATTGACTGCTAAAATAGGCGAGAGTCCAACCAAGTTCGAAATATGGTTTAGAAAACGAAAACCCAACGATACGTTCACTCTTCAGTCGATGACGGAGGATGTCAAAAAAATATGGACCGAGGAATTGTCTCAACTCCTGTGGCGACAAGCCATTAAAAATAGAGGTAAATACATTAATTATAATTAGATAGTAAGTCATTCTATATCATCGTTAAAATTAAAGTTAAAAATAAAGTAAATCAGGGGTCTAATATCAAAAGCAGCAAACTCCAAATTTTCCGATTGAAGCTTTTTGTGTCGTACCGGTTTGGAATGTTTGTTTATTAAAATATCGGTTCTTATTTTGCAAAAAAAAAACAGAAATAAGCTGGTAAAACCATTCAGCAAAGTTGTAAGTTTGTATCAGAAAAAGCAATCTCCAAATTTGTCATAACAAAAGTAGCAAAGTCACTTTCAGCCATAATACGTAGTTAAACCAGTATGGTAGCTTTAGTCGATTTGTAACAACACGTGCATAGTGAATTACTGTTTTTTAGTACACAATATCAAAATAATAAGAATTTTTTAATGAAAATTTATAAAATGGAGGTCTCTTGTCCTCCTGTAGATAAAGAACACGCAATAAAGTGTGTTAGAAATGCCAAAAATTGGGAAGCAAATAAGGCGAAATGATTGAGATAAGCAACATTTTTTCCAGGACCGCAATTAGAATCTACATGGTAGGGTTGCAGCTAAGGGGTTAAAGAAAAAAATTTCATTTTATTGTCAACAAATACGTCCAATGTGTTCAGCGTTTTTTTAAGTTACTGGTTGAACAGTTAATAATTTTATTCCGGAGTTTCGTGCAACTTTGTTTATATAATAATTTATTTATTCATATACAGTATCGGCTATTGAAAACCATCTAATACGGTTAACTAGTGTCGAAGTGAAAACTACGGAGACTTTGCGTTAGTTCGAAAAGTAAACGAATAATATCAACATTGCCCATGGCCTGACTGCTTTGGGATTGTGGGTATATCTGTCGTTGTGTGCCTATTCTTAATTTACATCAGACAGCACAGAGCGCAGACAGATAGTACAATACACACAGACGGCCGACGGTGCATACATGAGAGTTATGCCCACGCATCTAGGCGGCCGTTAACTGGCAACGTTGTTATTTTAGTTTCTTGCTTGCACTAATAATAAAAAAAGTTTCTCATTTGTGGTCAACTTCAAGGGACACATTCATAGGCGCCGCCACACGAAGGCAAGCGCCCAGGATTTCTGATTTTGGATTTTTGGCTATGGCTTTTATCTATAGCCTGCGGCATTATGAACTTGCATATAAGCCTTGACCCCCAGCAATTTTTTGATCGGTGCCCATGGACACATTGTTTATTATTAACAATTTGTTTTTAGTTTCTGTTAATTACATTATTAATTAGTGAGCAGAACTGTGTTTGTATTCAATACAGTCCTGGATGTTTTCAAACCCCAGTTTACTATCATAAACAGCAATCTCCCTTCATGAACAAATCATATATAGCAAACTCCAACCTTAAATATCAACTACAGAAAACTCCAATATATAAAGCCAATTTAAAATATTATTTAAAATCTTACGGCGATTTTGACTGAAATTTACAAAAAATAATTTATTTACACATTTAAAAGCCAAAACAGTAATTCTATGTAACATTCTAATATTTTTTAAATAGTTTTTGTTGTGTAGTGGAAAATTTAGAAAAGTGGACTTTGATACATTTGATATTAGACGCCTGAAATAATTTATTAAATATATACACACATCAAACATCGTAAGAATATTTAATTATCATAATATATCCAAAACTACTTCTGTACTCCTTTAATTTTACCAATTTCAATAATTATTGTTTTCAAAAATGTTTTCTTCCAAACATCTCAATATTGTTTCTTCTTTTATAAATCTTCAGATTTTCGATTTAAAATTAAAAAAAAAAAAATAAGAAACAAATTACTTAAGTGGATTATTAGTTTATTATTTTGGAACCAATATCTCAAAAACTAAACAGAAAATTACATAAACGTGAGTGTAATCATTTGCTGTTTCTTCTTTTTTAAACTATATTTTGCCTTTTTTTTTACAAGATATTTAGCCAAATTATTTAATTTAATTTCGCGCATGCGCACAACACTTTCCACTGTTAAAAAGTTTTTTTCCAAGCAACCCATCACTAAAAAGTAATGTTCAAATTATTTCAAATAACCCTTGTTCCTCAAGTCAAAATAATACTTCAAAAACCAAAAATCGGCATGATCATCACTGAATTTTTAAAACACTGCGTATTTGTTAGATAGGAGTTATATCTTAGAGCAAATTAAAAATGAATATTTTTTTTGTAACGTCTCATATTTCGTTTCCCAACAAACATTTTGTTATGGCAAGTTAACGGCCTTTAAAGGTATGTACCCAGATAGCACAAATACGTCTTATGGACGTTCTAAAAACGTCCTGCTCGGATATTCAGGATATCCTTAAAACGTCCATTTCACGGACATGGACGTCTTATGTACGTCTTTGGAACGTCCATTGTTAATAATCAGGATGTCTTAAGAACGTCCATTTAAGGACATTCCATGGACATTTTCAAAAGCTCAAATGGGGAATAACATGATGTAAGGAAATTAGTGAAAACAATGAATAATTTAAAAAAAAATTATTTGGAAGCAAATAACCAATAAATAATAAAATTATTAAAACTTTTTCATCTCTCCTCTACAGTTAGTTTTTTTCTTGATTTGACCATATTTGCCTTCTCAGTTGAATCTGAAAATAATTTAATCACTTATTCAAAATAAAAGGCATATCAATATTAAAATCCAATCTGTTTGTTTAAGTTTGCCTTGCTAGATATTATAAATTCACTAACCTTTTAGCTTTGTAGTATTCACTGAAATACTCCCCTACTTTGCTCTTTTCAACCATGTCTGAATTGATAGCAGTCAGTTTTTTTTCTTGATTTGGCCATATTTGCCTTCTCGGCTGAATCTGAAAATAATTGAATTCCTTATTCAAAATAAAAGGCATATCAATATTAAAATCCAATTGTTTTGTTTAAGTTTGCCTTGCTAGACATTATAAATTCACTAACCTTTTAGCTTTGTAGTATTCTCTGGAAAACTTCCACCTTTTTCAGACAAAAATGGTACAAACTGCAAAAAATTAATATTGATCAACCACAAACTCACAAAGTCGAATCACAGTCAAATGGCGGAATGATAGAACTTATACTTGTATAATATGTATATACCATCGAATCATGAACATCGAACACCATGTTTTTTTCTTTTTTTTTTTAATAAAACATATTTTAGTGCTTGAATCTAAATCACAGATCTAAATAAATAAAAATACAAAATAAAATGTCACTTGTCAACAATGTCCCTTGACCTTCTTCGTTTTTGTCTATTTGGCCTTCATTCAATTGGATATTAGGACATTGCCATCTTTAATAATTATTTATATTACCTCATTATATATGTTTTTTATATAATATACCCAAATAATAATACAATGCGAATGTGAGTCCATGGAAATATAGTAACGTAATATAGTAACGTAGAATTGACGTTCTGCAGATATTTATTTCTTGACGTCCCGAAGATTTAGTAAATTGGACATACTTAAAACGTCCATAATTGGTCCTGGACGTACAGACGAAAAATGGACATGTAATGGACGTCCTTAGGACGTCCTGTGCTATCTGGGTATGTTACTTTAAGTACTGACCTTTCGTTCGAGTCAGCAGTTTCCCATAATAATAATGTTAACTTTCCTGCATAAGGCTCGTAACTTTACGGGGCATAAGTAGTGATGGGCCTGTATATGACCAGCAGTGTCTCCCATAATATTAATGTTAAATTCCCTTCAATGGACTTGCATAAGGCTTGTAACTTTACCAAGAATAAGTAGTGAAAGGCCTTCACATGGCCAGCAGTTTCCCATACTAGTGATGTTAACTTCCCTTTAACGGGATTACATTAGTCTATTATAAAAATGATTCCGTGCTTTTAAAGAGTAACACATAAAAAAAGGGAATCCTTAATTTTTAGCTCTCTTGGAGGATACAAGTGTTACGTAATGAAAGTGTAACATCCACATACTTTGATTTTCTCTTACTATACGCAGAATGGTCGCACTGCGCAGCTTTCTGAGTGCCTTTTAAAGGAAAATAGAAAACTCCGCCATTTTGATGCCTTACCCAGACAGCACAAGTCAATCCATTGGATGTCCATCGGAAGTCCATTCATGGACATATCGGCTGTCCAAAGGACGTCCAGCATTTTACCGAAGGACATCCAATGGACTATACAAATGTCCCACTCCTGGACGTCCATTTGGACCCCATGAAAGGTCCATATATGGACTCTTTTTGTATTGCTTTTGGACAATTTATGGACATCTGACGGACATCACCACCTATAATAATATGAAATAAAATAATTGCAGCTATGGACCTATTTTTATTGTCATAAATAATATCAAGCATGTATTAGTTTTATACGCACTTCTTTCTGTTAACCTTCTCAGCCATTTTTCTTAAGGCTATTTCGCTTACTTTTGAAGCAGCATCATTGTTACTCTCAGCAGCAGCTAAAAAAAGACATTACATTTTATACGAATATTGAGTCTTAAATCAATCGTTTAATACACGCCTGATCAGGCAAAACTGATAGTTAAAAATGTAAAACGTTTAGATAAAATGTTATTAACTAATATGAAAATATGCATTGACTTTACCTCTATACTTACATATAAACAACAAACTGCTCATTGTTTCTTTAAATTACCATTTTACTTTCATACCATCATATTAAGTTAATTCTTTCGTGAGGGTATTAGAAATTATGGAAACAAACCATCTTTTTATAAGTTCGTCATGTCCTTGTCCCTGGTTTTGGTAACTGCTGAATCTAAAATTGCAATAAAAATATGTATTTGTGAACATTAAAGAGAAATAACTTATGAAACTACTTTCAATGCATTATTTCTTAAACGTTACATAACGATTCTATTTTATTTAATAAAAGTAAAACTAACAGCTTCTTTAAAAATATTTGTATCTTCTAAATAGCCTTCTACTTCTGCTAACGTCTCATGCAGTACAAATAGAAACTTTTCTTCTGCTTTGAAAGT